TTTAAACGTTTCTGAACTTATAAATTTAAAAGCGAGAAGAGCATCTGACCCTTTGTGGCAAAGATCACGTTCGTCACGCCAGGCTCTCTGGAGGTATTCTGCAACTAAATCTCTTTCAACAACAGGCTCTGCATTCATTTAATCTATTTCTCTTCATTCCGAATGACTTAGTAGATCATAAAGCTGTTCTTTAACCTGCTTTAGTATTCTCATCCCGCAACACGTTTTTCTTTTTTTAAACAGTTTGTCCCTCGGTGGCAGCAGGTATAAGCATCGGTAGCAATAATTTAAACCATTGACAGCTCATATTATGCGATGACAATGAATTCCAAGGAGCAGGTGAGTCAACTGTTCATTCTTGAATTTATACTCAACTAACCGTTAAAAAGGTATGGTGTAACTACTCATCCTTGATCATGTCGGTCGCCAACGTATATAAAGCTTTATTTATTTTTGGTATAAAAAGCATGTAAACTTTATAATGTAATTTATTGATCGTGACATAGAGCTAGCTAGGTTGCATGGATGTGGCTGTCATATTCGATACGTCGAGTTTTATATTTTAAAATATAAAATATAACATGCTTTCGGATATTGTGTATATATATTTGTAAAAAATATTAAAAATATATTTTTAATTTTAAAATATTTAAATTAACATACATATATAGCTCTTATAAATAATACCTGTAAAATATAATCATTAATTATAATTTATTTTTTTTATATCTAATTTCTTATCACTTAATCCTTACTAATAAATATAGTATCAATATCTCTTTTTTCTCGACTATCATAAAATTACATCTTCACGTTTTTTGTAATTAAAAAAAACTAATTTTATTCTTTTATTACATCTAAGACTTATGTTTTTTTTAAAAAAATCTAATCTTTGACTTTAAAAATGATACCTGTAATAAAAGTTTAATATTGTAAGTTTTAATAAATTTATTTTTTTTAATTTGTGTTTTTCAAAACCGATTAACAATCTAAAAGCATCTAGTATGTATTGAAAATTAGAATTTTTTAAAATTTAAAAAAAATATATTTTGATTCTTTAGGAATACTCAAAAAAGTATCGATGGTTATCAATATGAATACATATAGTAATTGGAAGCATCGATGCTTGATAGATATAGAGTATTAGATAATATTGCAACCTATAGCATATTTAATGGAAAAGATCAGAAGGGAGATGCCAACTAACCCGACAATTCAGATCACAACATTGTCTAAATTTTGCTCGACTGCAATTAGATCTTTATAGATTTTTTGTTATAATTAAACCTCTATAATTTGATATATTGTACTATATTAATCTTTAAAAAAGTTAAAATTAATAATAAATTATTAAATTTCACAAAACAAAAATACTCTTGGAGTTTACAAAAATTTAATTTAATATTTTTAATCAAAATAAAAAATTAACTTAATATATTTTTAAAATTTTTTATCAATTTTTAATCAAAATTTCATATGTAAAAAAATATTTAAAAGATAACCTAATTATTTAAATTTTTAATTAGAAAAGTTACATAATAAACTTTAAAGTTATATAAAAGTTATATATTGTTAATTATATCTTTTTAAAAAGAAAATACAAGGATGTTAAACTTTTAGGATTAAGTAATTTAATGATTGAGTTATAGAGTTTAATTAAACAAAATTAATTACTTTCTCTGGTCCAATAATTGTAATATATTTTTTGAGGAGTTGAATATTAAAAAATGTAAGATATTTTTAATATTTTGAGGTATAATCATGGTCTTTTTTTAAAGTATCTCGATTGATAAATGATTTTATATTTATTGTAAGGTGTTTTATAAAAATAAATATAAAAATAAAATTAATTTAGAAATAAATAATTATTTTATTAAAGATTAAAATTTAATTAAAAATATTTTATATTTTTTTGAGTGGGAAGTAAAGAATCTAATTTAAAAAAAAAATTATAAATCATGTAAAAATATTTATTTTTAAGTTTTGAGTCGCAGCTCAATTATGGAAAATAAGTGGAGGAGGCGAAGAGTCAACCACTTGAGGTCGAGAGCCCAGTGTAATTAATAAGATGGTGACACTTTTCTCTCCCAAACTGTATGAGGCGGGTTCGACAGAGTTCATTTACGAGATCACCTGTAAAACTTGCTTGATTGAGAGCAGTGAAGACAATGGGACACCAAGTTGTAGTTGGATAAGGTGAAAATGACTCATGGAGACGAACAACGTGGAAGTTATATTTCAGTCTGCTTTTAGTTGGATGTTGCTATTTTTTTATATTTTTTTTAGTGACAAATAGAGAAAATGAAAACTTATGATGGATTAAACTTTCTCAAATCAACACCCTAATTTAGAATATGGCATAAAAAATAGGACAACCCAGATAATCCTCCAGTATCCCACATCTCCCAAATCATTCTTGTCTTGCAAAAGATATATTCTCTTTTATTTTTCATTGTAAGACATTTTAAAATTATTTCACACAAATTTTTTTAATATTACAAAAAATCAAAATGTACTTTTATTTTTATAATTAGTTTTAAGTCATGATACAACGATGTTAAATATTTTTTATGTAAGTTAACAAAAAGTAAAATAAAAAATAATTTAATTATTATAAAATATCTTATATTATAAAATAAAAATTATTTTTAAAATATCTCACAAATAATATAACGAGGAAAGTAGGATAGAGGGGCGCTTGACGGGACTCTGGCCATCTGGAGTCCTTTAGCTAAGAACTTTCTAGTCATAAAGGGCATGCCTAACTAGTCAATTTTTTTTTTTTTTAATGTAATGAACAAATTTATTAGCTCAGAGTAAAAAACTGTACAAGGTTCTAAATAAAACTTAAAAGCAGAAACTAAGAAAAATTAAATCAAAGACCCGCAAGTAAAAAAATATTTTTAAGTGTGATTAACAATAGCACCAAACTAAAACAGGCCCTATGAAAGACAAAAACTTTATCAGTCAAAATGTGTAATTAATCAATTTTTTTTTAGAGTACTTGTATTTGCTGTTGCTGTTTGCATCGAGTTTCTTTTAATTATGTTATAAGAAATTTAAAAAGGATAATTAATTTATTAAATCTGTCTCAAAATTTAACCTATTAAAAAGGATCTCCTATTAACGAATATAGATCTGATTCCCCCCCCCCCAACAAATAGGCTGCATTCTCTTTACTAAAAAAAACTAAGTTGTGAAGAGAGAGAGAGAGAGAGAAACGCAAGATTCAATTCAATATAAGCTATATAAAAATATTTTTTGGCAATAAACCATATAAATCATTAAATTAGAATTAAGTTATTTTTTTACTAATTTACAACGAGGATAAAATAAAAAAGTATTAATATATAACTTTTTATATGACTTACGTGAAACATGAAAAAAATTATTTAAATTATTCTTGGCAAGAGGAAAAAAGTAAAAAAAAAAAAAGACATTTTTTTTTAAGGCTTGGCTAAGAAAAGAAAAAGAGGGAGAAAAAAATGACATGCGGGACTTATATGTTTTAATGGCAACTTTTATCCTCAAATATAGAAAAATTTTAAAAGGAAAGTTAATTTTTAATTTACTTATAAATCTTTTTACTTTCTACTTGTTATCTCTTTTTTATTTTCATCTTAATTTTTCCTTTACCTTAAAATTTTTATTATTATATATTTTTTGATACTTTGCATTATTATATATTTAATAAATTAAAAAATAAAATTAAAATTAGACAAAATATTTTTTGCTAGTATCGAACAAAATATTTCACGGTTATATTTTTATTCAATCAATAATACATAATAAAAAAAATTATATAAATAGTAAATCAAAATATTAAATTTTATTATATAAAAAAATTTTTTATAAATAATAAGATTATTGCTGTTCGTATGAAATTACTAATTTTTTTTCTTTTTCTATCCAACTAGCCAAGCATAGAAAGAAAAAATTATATATTTTTCCTCCTTTTAGTTTCTTTTCTCTTCCTTTACCCGGTGAGCCAAGCACCATTTACAGAGCCTTCTCTACTAGTGCCATTAACACAGCAGGAAAGAGGAAAATTGGGGATTGTCTCATTGCACATGTTAGTTTGCTACGTGGACCACCTCTGTCATTTACCTTGTAGGTTGTAGCTCAAACGATAAACTAACATAAATGGGCGTCCACTGTTGTGGAATCAACCACACAATTCTTTCAATAAATTGCTCAAGGTTTCTGCTTCTGTATATATAGTTACTCTGGCTATAACTGTGCGTGCCAAGAAAATAGCAATGGGGAGCCAGAATCACTTGAGAGTTTTGTTGCTTTGCTTTATAGCATTGATTGGATCAACCCAGGCTCAATTGCAGAAAGGATTCTATGCCAAGAGCTGCCCAAAAGCTGAGAAGATCATTCAAGACTTCGTCACTCAGCATATCCGAAATGCTCCATCCCTGGCCGCTGCTCTGATCAGAATGCATTTCCATGACTGCTTTGTCAGGGTATGATTTTCTTTCTCAGTTCGTTTTCGTTGATGAGTGGTTTTGATGAGCTGGGGAACTAACACTTGGCATTTCAGGGCTGCGATGCATCAGTGCTCCTCAACTCAACGACCAGCCAAGCAGAGAAGAATGCTCCTCCAAATCTCACTGTTAGAGGATTTGACTTTATTGACAGAATCAAGAGCCTTGTGGAAGCTGAGTGCCCTGGTGTAGTCTCTTGTGCTGATATTATCTCTTTGGCCGCCAGAGACTCCATTGTTGCCACAGTAAGCATCCATTCTAGCTCCTGCTTCGTCCTTATCATCGAAGTTTATAACTTTTCCATAACATACGAAGACTCGTTTGGTTGCAGGGCGGTCCCTTCTGGAATGTTCCAACAGGTAGAAGAGACGGAACTGTATCGGTCCTAGTGGAAGCTAGGGACCAAATTCCTGCTCCAACTAGCAACTTCTCCACACTTCAGACACTCTTCGGCAACAAGGGACTTGATCTGAAAGACTTGGTTCTTCTGTCAGGTACATTAAACCAAACAAATCGTAGGCATCAGTGATTCGAGTCGCTAACAGTGCTGAAAATTTTCAGGTGCTCACACAATTGGTGTCTCCCTCTGCTCATCATTTAACAGCCGATTGTATAATTTCACCGGTAAATTAGATCAAGACCCAGATCTAGACAGTGAATACGCTACAAATCTCAAGACCTTCAAGTGCAAGAGCATCAATGACACCAACTCGATTGTTGAGATGGACCCTGGAAGTCGCAATACATTTGATCTTAGCTACTACAGAAATGTGCTCAAGAGAAGAGGGCTGTTCCAATCTGATGCTGCTCTGCTGACCGACTCTGTGACCAAGTCTACCATCACCCAGCTGCTCGAGGGCTCAGTGGAAAACTTCTTTGCCGAATTTGCCAAGTCCATGGAGAAAATGGGACGAATAGATGTCAAGACTGGGACACAAGGAGAGATCAGGAAGCGTTGTGCAGTCGTAAATAGCTAGGAATCTTGATGCTCATCCAATATCACTTCCGTTTTCTACTTTTTGTAACTTTATTTTTGGGCATGTTTATTTATTTTTGTGGTGACTTTGGAATTGGTGTGTCCTCATAAGATATGTCGTGGGTATCTTTGCACATGTTGCTGGAATAATAGGGATCCCCTGTGGACTGTAGTTTTCCAGTTTGAAAAGGGAGGTTATGTTCTTGTTCTTGCAAATAAAAAGCGTAGAATTGAAGAAGTACTTGTGATTCTTGTTCTTTGTTGTCGAAAGATGAGGTTTTCAAGATTATTAGAAGCAACGTATATTTGCTTCTCCGCATATATTCTTACTTCTGAATAGTTCTTTTCGGGCACTCAAGGAAAGAATTTCTCTATTTTAAAAAGGTCAAAAGTTACCCTAGAAGAACTCGGAAAAAAATCCCGTTTAACAATTTTCTTATAGAAGTGGCCGTCCACTTCATGGAGGAGCCTCTAGGGACTACTTTGAAAGATACCGTCTTCACTCAATGTTGTACTGATTTTCAGCCACTTTCATGTATATCTATCAGTAAGACATTTAGAAAAAAATTTATAAAATTTTAAAGTAACTCGAGTTTACATTATTAATCTATGATTTACAAAATAAAATTTAGAATCATTGGAATCTTTTTTTTGGGTAGAAATCATAGGAAAATTTAGCAATGTGCTTAGTGGAGGTGTACCTCAATGGGCCCATGCAGGAGGAGCCTATAAGAGTCATTTCAATTTCAAAAGGAATCATCCTTCCCCAACGTTACATTGACTCTCAGGCTTTCGGCAACATTACTCAACGTGTTTATTGGGTCAAATTCGGGCTGAAAAACATAACTAAACTTACGGCCAAGTTGGGCTCTAAGTTGGTGTTGAACCAAAGCAGCTTGTGCATGGCCATAGTTTAGAAAGAAATACTCTCACAATATATATTATATATATATATATATATTCAACAAGTAGGGTGTAGGTAATTACACTTACACCCTATATATCAAAAGTCAAAACACATAAATGGTTTTATAATGAATGAATGGATTTAAATACTTTATTTTATAATTTATCATTATATGGTTAAATTGTTGTTTTTGTTTTTGGCAAAACAAATTGTTATATATATATATATTTTTTTTTTTTTGCTTTCATGCCTGATATCCTGATAGTGTTTGGATATGCTGGATTCATTATCTACCCAATTATATGTTTTATTAAAAAGGAGATATGAGAAATCATATATCTAAACTTACTCTATTAAAAAACAAAGAGGGCTGTGGGAGGAGAAGGGTGAAAGTTTAGGTCCAGCCCAATTAGATGTAACGCTTCATCTCCGATTGCACATGGTCCAAAAAGGAAAAACATCTTGGACCCCGCATGATAGCCGCCGCTCTCTCGCTTTTCCAAAGCCCTAAATTTCAATTCTTAAACCCTAATTTTGCAGCGTACCGCTTGCTGCCTATATATATCGTTCGGGCGCGATTTCTGTCGCTCATGCCTCCCTGCGACGGCTGTGCATTCTGCGCGCTATCAGATCGGGAATTCCTCCGAGGTTGTAACTCAGATAGATTCTGTTCTTTTATGCTTGATTTTTCTCTTATTGTTGTTGTATGTGCGGTGATGAGGCGATTTATTGGACTAGAGTTTCTGATCTGAGTATATCTTTCTCAGAACTTGATTAACAAACCCTTGGCTGTCTGAGCACACTTCTAAGGAAGTTTTCATTTCATTTTCTTGACTTCATCGGTATTTCCCCCCCTTCGACATGACTCTTTTTTGAACGTGGTGTTCAATTGGTTAAGAAAATGGGCTCGTGATGATATTTTAATTATCTTAGCGGATTTCAGTGAGATATCCATCAATGATCTGACTGTTACACACACTGAAGCCTATTTTCTTTATAACTATTATTTATTTTAATGTACCGTATTGGATTTTGATTAGCATGTTAGGCCCTTGTGTGTAACTTATTAATCTTTGGTGCGATGATAAGAAGAAACACTTGAACGTGTTTTAGGGCAGTGGACGTGACCACTCGGTTTCGCCGTGAGCCCATACCTTAACGACTTCTCCTTCCACTGAGCAATGTATGTTAGTTAATTTCCTTGATTGTAAAGGCTATTTAAATTGTGAGTCTGCATCTCCCTGAATAGGCTAATACTGAAACTTGGTTTGGAATGGATCATCGCCGAACGTTTGTTTTCGTTATGCGTCCATTACCAATTCCTGGAGGATATACCGTTCCTCTTGGTATAATGGCTCGGACGCGATATTCATCATGTGGTTATCCTGATTGATGGTTTCTCCACCATACCATTTGATCCTGGAAACGCCACAAATACTCCACCATAACGAATCATTATGCGCATTAGTTTTGAACATTATTAAGGGAACATGCTTTCATCAAAGCGAAGCAATGGAATGCCGTATGCATCACATGGTGGAACTATGAAGGCATCTATACTAGTGGGGATGGTCGGGTGTCGAATTAGAATTCGAATTCGAATGAGGCAGAAAGTCAATTTTATTGGAGAGTGTCGGTTCTCTCAAATCAAAGCAACATTGGGCGCTTCAAAGAACCTGGATGCGTCAAAAAGATGCACTTCGTTCTCTCGCAGGGGTATCTGGAAGGCCTTTGAATCCATGAAATTTTCAAATTAACGAGTAAAGGACCATGGATGAATGAATGGTTCCCTGTCTTCATCCGACGGATATGGAAAATATGGAAAGCCGGGCGAAGGAAAATAATTGATCATGTCTGAGCTCGCATTTGCATCAATGTTGGCCGACCAAACAGATAAAATTTTGTTAATTTAAATTCATTAGAATTAAAAATTTATGCTAAAAGTTCCTTAAAATGAAGTTCAAAAGTCAAATAAACTTTAGAAGATATTCCATGTGTTTCAAATTATAGATATATTTTCTTTCGTTAGTAAAATTGTGTTGCTGCACTTCTTAAGTTTTATTTATAAGGTGGGGAGATAATTTTTCCAGTTTTATTTACAAGTCATATAGTTAATTTTTTATGTTTTTATTACAAGTTCTTTTATTTTTTTATTATATCTTCGTAAAAAAATGTTATTAAGTATAAAATACATTTCATGTTAGATACATTTGGAGGTCAAATAAAATTTCATTAAATGTACTCTTTTTAATATTACTATTCTCTTGTTTTCATCTCTATTTAGTAGTTAAAAATTAAGTTATATTAATGGTGGTCTCTATACTTTTAATGTATTTTTATTTTGTTATTCTAAATCTTTTGATATTAGACTATAATGTTAGTCTTCATTGTTATTGGCATATTTAAATCTGCTGTTTAATTTTGTTGGCAAGTTGATAAAATTATGATAAATTGGATATTGTTTGAGCAAAATGACAATTAATCTTTTAGTGTCATTGTCATGTGTTTTATTTTTCTTTTAAAGCTTCATCTGTTGCACTTTTAATGATTTTACTTCAATGTCTTACTTGTTTTTTTTTTTTTTTAATTTTCTATTTATTTTGTACGCAACTTATCATAGTTTTAACAAGTTACTATAAGAAATAATAGAGTTTCAGTTTATGCATGGATTTGTTACTGTTAAATTTCTGTGGTCATTTGAAAATACAGGGGCTTCCATTGTAGACAAATGAAAAGGAACTTGAAATAATAAAATAATAACATAAAGATTATACCAAAATACATTAAAAATATGGAGATCAAAATTTATATTTTTCTTTTAATAATCATAATAATAATATGAATTAAGGAAAAATCTGAAAATGTAATTAGGTTATATTCTGTATTTTTTAATATGTTTTCGGAAACCTTAAAAGACATTTAAATTTATTTAATAAAACCTTGATATTCTTAAAGAGTGTTATATTTTGAAACATTAATTTTTTTTAGAAGTATTTCATAATTTGAGATGACCTTGAAATAAAAATAAAAATGAAATAATTCCTCTATCAAAATTAGTGGAAGATGATATTCGAGCTGACGATGCTTATAAATCCTAATATGATTGCCTTTTAGTCCGCATGGCATCACCTTGCAGCATGAAGCCATGAACTATTGAACTTCGATTTTAAACTAAATAAATAAATGTTCACTAACCACGATAGGTTGCTTCCAGTGATTCTTTATTCCTTGCATATGGCCTTTGCCGACAACAGCAACAACCGAGTTTCTCTTCCTCGCCACTTTTAATAATGCGGAGGACATATATCTGGATATTTGAAGTGGGAAAGTGAAAAAGAAAGGAATCAAATAGATAAGAAGTAAAAATTAATTATTTGGTTCATATAATTTTGATTTAAATATAATTTAATTTTTAAATTTTGACTCGTTGTAACATTATTATTTTAACTCAGTTGTAATTTTATTCTCAAACTTTGAGTTAGTATAACTCATCCCTTATAATTTTAATCATTTAAAATATTAATTTCCTTATTTTAAAAATTAAAATTATATTAAAATTTAGGACTACCATTTTAAATTACTAAAATAGTTTAAAATAGTTTTAATATTTATAAACTTATTTTTTAAAATACAGGAACTAATATTTTAAATGATTAAAACTATAAGAATAAAGTTGCACCGTCAAAATTTAAAAATTGAGTTACAATCGAGTCAGAATTATAAAAAATAAATTGAGTGAATTCAGAAATTTAATTATAAATGAGTCAAAACTACATAAATCAAATAATTAATTTCTTTTCCAAAAAAAAAAACAACATAAAGTACTTATTTAAGAGAGATTCAAAATAGTGCAAAGGGTAATATAATGACCACGGAAGCCAGTCCGCTCAATATTTTGTGCTCCCCTGTGCAGCATAGCTAGAAATAAGTGAAGTAAGCAGGGTTTCGTTTAAACCAGATGGGTGAGGAGCCCACGGACTTGCAGAAGTTAGCGTAAATCCAAACCTTTAATTGAAGGGAGGCGGAAAAAAATTCAATGGAGCTGCATGCTAATACCAATTGATTACACTGACAGTCCACGAACATATTATGACGAGAAAACAACTAAACAATGTCGACCCTTGCAATGCAATAAATATGACATAGAGCTCATAGAGTGTCATAGAGTTCAAAGAAGCCATTTGATAATTTGAGTTGATCGCACCAACATGCTCCATACTTCCGTCAATTTACATAGATTTTGCCACGGCTCGTGTCGTACGATACAAGACAAGCGGGCATTCAGTGATAAGAGGTCTAACGCATTTCAATTCAGGTTCTGAGGGCGGCTTCCAAGTGCCAAAAGTAGCAGCATCAGAAAAATATCCAGGATACCCCTAAAAGGACCCCTTCGAGAGCTCTGTGAAAATTGGCAGCATAGCTGGGATATGACATGTTTTAACAGAACCATTCTTCTGAAAGTGGGCAAGCACGTGACAGGTAACAACCAATTTAGTGAACCATGTGTATAGCATGCCAAAGTCATCTATTTTTTGAAACATAATAGTAAATTTGATTGAACTCAAATTAAGGGGCAAGAGTTCTGATTCCTTTAGTGAATTACATGAATAGCATACCAACGTCATTCATGTTTTGAAACAAAATTGTAAATTTGAACGAACTCAAATGAAGGGGTTTGAGAGCTTACTGATCTCGCTCATGCACGAGAGTCTCCATTAAAGCTGGGAACGCCTTGCTCATCTCTTGTATAACAAGAGTTAGCATGTCGTTGTTATCCATTTCCTTCAGCTGAAAAACACATACCCCAGCTTGATAAGAATTCAGTACTAGTATCTGTATGGCCATTTTCCTACCCATCAAAAGCATGTAAGGATTATGATGTTTACCATTTTATTAAGCTCCTCATGACTGGGCAAAAAGGCTGCACTAAAAAGTAAAGAGTACAGCAATTTTATCTTATGCCAAAGTCGCATCTTTCTCCATGCTCTCCTGAATGTAATCTGTCTCAATCAAGGGAAATATATATTAACACACTAGAAACAAGAAATTTCTAAAGCATAACCACACAATGCATGCTGAATTGATAGAACACCTAACTAAGTGCTGGGAATTGCCCAATAAAACTTAAGGAAAATAATTCCCATGCCTTACCACGTTTACATATTTCACTCATACTCACAGAAACAGGAATAAAGGTTAAGCTCATAAACATCAAACAGATCTAGTGAACTTTACCAGAAGAAACCTTAGAAGCTAGAACATCAAGTAAAAAAGGCAGCCTACTGTTAAAAGATCAAACACACATAGTAAGCAACATTCTTGATCCCAGCCATAAAAAATTTCCACCAGCTTTTCTGCAGGTCATATAAATTTATCCTCAACAAAGAGGCCATAAACAGGGGAGTTGGCATCATATTCGAGCCACATCAATAGCAGTACTTCCAAAAACAAATGGATAAATAGTCTGTTTCCCATGCAAGGTTGAAAGTGACTGAAACATGCGCTGGGTATAATAAGATATTAATGTACATTGACTCTTCAAAGTACGAAAATTGATATTCTGAAACAGAGTAGCAAGTATATTCCGGATTTCAGCCAACTTCAAAGCATAATAAACCCATTCAACCTGTACTGGCGATCACCAGGTATCACCCTCCCGCCACACTTCGCAGCTCCTTCACATGCACACGAAATTCAGCACCGGGAAAAACATCAAGCTTATCAGCAATCTGTTGGAAATTTAAGAGGAAAAAAAGCATATATGAGATAAACAGCATTATTGAATAATAACAGATCAATGAAAAGGATGCAGATCTTGTAGAGACAGTTAATATGCTTTCAAACATAGTGCCTCTGCAAGAACACAGCTGTAAAGCACTCCAAAGATGTTCTGTGTTTTCTTCAAAATTACGATCATTTCTCCGACTGTGGGCGCCTAAAAGAAAGTAAAAACATTAAAAGTGACAGCTTAGCGTAAGAGGAACAAAATATATGGAGATTTCAGAGGGAAAAAGTGCAACATTAACTTATAGGCCATTAAGCCAAGTAATCCAAGCTGAAATGAATTTTGAAAACCACTTGGAAGAATATACGAGCATCTATTACTAAAAGTAGAGATGATTATTTTCTCCTTTATTCAAAATGAATAATAAAATTATGAAGGTAAATAAACCAATACTCTATCCATTAAAAAATATAAGGAATTCTTAACTGAATCTCATCTCCAATAAAATAGTTAATTATTTTTAAATTAATATCATTTTTTTATATTTATGAGTGTTTTATTATAAAATAAATATAAAATAACTTATTCAGGGGCTTAAAATACTAAAAATTTATTATTTTTTTTAATATCCAATTCTTAAAAAAAATGTTTTACGCTTTTTGGCAGGAGTAAGTATATATTTAGATAGCATTTTTTTTCCTCAAAAAAAGGGAAAATCTTCCTTCTTTAAGGAGCAATGTTAAGTCGTTCGAGTATTAGCAAAGTAAAGGATAGATACCTTTAGATTTTGTGAGACAAGCACTGTTAGACGACTTTGGCACAATTCTAGGAAGACAACCTGGAGAAAGAAAACCAAGGCATACGATTTTAACATGAAAATGTACAAGCTGGAGGGAAGACATGAAATAAAAATGCAGGCAGCTAATTAGGGGAATGATTCATTCATCAATCAATGGCTATGGAGTTCAAAAGGGAAGCACCTGCGGTTTCAAAACATTGATTATTTCTTGCACTTCTCCGGAGGATTTCTGTAAACGAATGCATATAGTTCAGAATAGATGGTAATCTCTCACCTTTCCCATTTTACCATCTGTAACAACAAATTCCAAACTGTACATTTCAGTCCCAATCCAACTACAACCCCCCGGGGAGGTTAACCAAGCGATTACCCGAGAAATATGAGAAGTGCCAACCAAGTACACGTCACAAACACCACTCTCAGCAGTGGAATCGCACGTCAGGAGCACTACGTTTCTCGGGAGTTAGTCCGGGAGTAACTTCCGCTGATTGGAATCCGCTGTATCAAGAAAGGGTGATACGGCGGCGTCGGTGGGCTGGTCGATTCGAACCATGCTCTCAGATAAGTTCACGACGGAAGGATTGCCGATGTGAACAAAATCTTCGCCTTCGACGGCGGGAGCAACAGATTCAGACGGTTGGGGGTCCATAACAGGTCGGTGAGCGGCGAGAATTGGCGGCCGCAGAGGCTTTGAGCAAGGATTGGTGTGGTTGAGAAATCAGAAATGTGATGCGAGTATGAGAGGCTGAGGGCAAAGGATTATGCGGGAAGTTAAACAAAGGCGCGAGTCGGGCGATGGAGCGCAAGTGACCAGGCCAATTGGAAACAAACCACCCGCGCCATTAGCAACTCGGTTCATGTCTCGACGTTACAAGACAGCAGGTAATGGCGATGGGTTTCAGTGCTCAGGGTGAGCAGATTTTTTAATTTTTATTTTATTTTTATTAAAATATAAAATTTTAATAAATTTATTTTATCATCAATTTAAATAATACATATTTAATCTAAATATTCATTTTAATATTAATTTTTTAAAAATTTTTATAGGTTGACTATCTAGATATATTTAAGATTCGGTCTATTCAAAGTATATTTGAATAATTAATTTATAATTTTTTAAAAAATAATATTAAATTAAATTATTTAAATTAAATGTGTATTGTTCGGATTGATAATAAAGTAGATTTATTAAAATTTTATAATTTTTATAATAAAAATAAAAAATTAAAAAGCTATAAATATAGCCAATTAGATGTAAATACTCATCAAGTGATGAGCACCAAAGCCCGACTCATGACTTGAGATTGTTAATTTGTTTCAGGGAAAATATATGCGAAGGCCTCATAATTTGTTTTAATTTTTAATCAGTTCTTTATAGTTTTTTTTTTAATAGAATAGGCACCCCACCATATTAAACCTGGTAAAGGTTATTGCAATCAGCTGAGAGTAAATCCACAAGCTCAGGGGGTGGAGTAGAAATACGATAAAATCCTGGCCAGCAACTAAGAGCATATTTGGCTAAGTAATTAGCAACTTCATTTCCTTCCCTGTTAATATGGCATAAAGACGCTTGCCAGTCCTTCCCAAGAATGCTGTGAATTTCATCAATGATGTTAAGATATTGGTGCAAGGGAGGCGTATTCACTGAAACCAAATGCATTGCTTCAAGTGCATCACTCTCCGCAATAACTTTTCGATAGCCTAAGTCCCAGCCTTCTTTCAGTCCAAGAAGAACTGCCCAGAGCTCAGCTTCCAAGCTATCTTTGCCAACTCCATTATGCATAAATCCTGATAGATAGTGTCCCAAGTGGTTTCGAGCAACTCCTCCACATCCCCCTAGGGTAGAAGAATGAGAAAATGCTCCATCAACGTTGATAAGAATCCAATCATAGAGAGGGGCACACCATCAGATTCTTTTGAGAGTGTCAATGTGCCCAGAAATATTGGTGTCTCTCAAAGAGTGTTTCTAGGCTCCCATACTCTTATATATCAACATAACATGTGCTAAGATAGATTCATTGCTGCTATTTGTGCCCTCAAAAATTCTCATGTTACACCTTTGCCAAATGTGCCAACAACTCAGGAAAAAAAAACTTCATTCGATCTCTTGCTGCTTTTGCTACATGCACCATTAATATTCCATTCAATCCACTGTAGAAAGGTTGCTTCAAAGAAAGCACCCTGTAGCCCTGGCCGAAGCATTTTACACCAATATTGGAGGGTTCGGAGACAATCTCGAAAAACATGCAACGTGTTTTCCTTTCATCCTGGGCACCACGGGCATTGATGATCAAAAGTAATCGTATGTCGATATCTCACTTCATTTGTAAGAAGTCTGTTATGGCATAAAAGCCACGTAAAAGATCTACAACTCTGAGGTACCAGCACAGTTCTTTATAGTTTTACTTGTTAAGAGTTAGCTCATTAAAATTTTAAATGTTAAGCCCCTTAATCCTTACCATCAATGAAGTACATTGACACTGTTAATTTCGACTGAAGTAGCTCTGATTAGGTGGATGATTGTGCTACGTAAATCCACCTAACATTTGACGGGGCTACCTTCTTTGTTTAGCCTACAAAATTGAGGTTGGGTCTTCAGCATTGACTGGATTAGGGCCTGGGGGGTCGAGAACGAACTAGACACGCACACAAACCAAAACGAATCGGGCCTCCGATCTCTGGCGATGTCGGGCATGTCGTCACCAAGCTCTTCCTTCTGCTTTCTTCCTGATTTCTCACTTTTGCTAAGACAACCTCTCATCACCTTGGTTGCGAAGGAGGAGGAGCATCTGAGGATGTTTCCAATGCAGGGGAAACCAGAGTCTAACCATGAGGCAACAACGGCAACGGAGGGTACGCCGTCGGCTTCCGCTTTATATCCCACGACTGTGTCTTCCTTGGCCTCATCTTCATGTGGTGCGCCTTCGCCTTCTTATTCGGCCTTGACGAGCACTTTATTAGACTATCACCGATCCACCTCCCTCCATTCCGACTCTCATACTTTCCTTTCTCAAGTTCCTGTCGCCACCACCTCTTTCAAACGACAATGATGGAATATAGCCATGAAGCAATTTTTTTCGAAATAGTGAAAAACAACGACAATCTAAAAAAATCACGAATATTATAAAAACGATCATTTAGAAGAGGAGACGGAAAGAAATGGAAGAGTTTAATAAAAGCTACATACGTAAATAGAAAGCCAAGAAGAAATAGAATATATGAATGTAATTCAAGAAAGCATGAAGGAAAGGTGTGTACAGGAACGGATGAAAGAAGAGAGCACCGGTCATTTTCATAGCATGAAACTTGAATAACTCCATTGAATGTCCAAAATAAGAGACGCAAAGAAGACATCGATGGGAATGCAGAGGTCGACGCCCTCCTCATGCTCAATGAAATAGAGACTCTGACCTAGAGAACTTGGCAACTGGGCACTGCAAAAGGCAATGTTTTTAAAATCGTACAGGATATTGAATTGAAAAAGTCAGCAGTTTATGATTCGCATGGTTCAATCGAGTTGGGTCAATGATCAAATTGATGACTAATTAACTTAAATTAAAAAAATTATATATGTATATAATAAATTAAATATAAGAAATACATATAAAATTGTTACTTAATTTAAAAAAACCAAATATTTTTAGTTTATCATGACTTAACAAGTCACGTGATACAATATAATATCAAATGATTAAAAAAATTAGTCATTTTTTTAAAAGAATTTGATAAAAAATAAAAAATTTGAACAGTCCGGTTTTTTAAAAATCAGATTCGGTTTTCGGTCTGACCGCCGGTTCGAAACAACCCAACCCGACTCAACCTCTAAAGTGATTTTTTCATAAGAACTAAACTGAAATCCAGACCGGTCGACAGTCGGACCAGTCCAGCCGTTTGGTCCAGTCTGATTTTAAAAACACTGGCAAAGGGCATCTATGAGCCAAATTTTTTTTGAAGAATCTTAGCTGTGTTGATCCGCGTGGCAAAACTTAGCCACATGGGTGTTAAAGGTCCAGGGATTATCAGGCGTAATATTGAAAGCTCTAACGACTCAATGCCAACAAGTAAGATTATAAGAGTCTGACTTAAAACTGAAGCAAATTATAAGCCCTCGCAAATGTGTTTTCCTTTGTTATGTATCGATCCAATTATACTCGGGCAGCCAGCACTCGAATCCGTACAAACACAAGAATGGAGGGGAATGAAGTATGAAGGAATTTATTAAAATTCTCCTATGAAAAATACACAAGGCCTTTGACATCGTAAGTAAAGGTTAGTCTCTTACATTGTCACGAATGCAAATAAAAACTGATTTTTACCAGGGATGAAAACATCGGACAAATCATGATCAAATTAATATATTTTAAATAAAAAAGGCAAACAAATAACAACAAAATCAATAAAAAATTTGGTTTGTGATAAAAAATAACAATACAAATAATTTTAAATACAAGGCTAGAAGATAATTATGAGATGTAATATTTATATAACATATATACTTATTCCAAAATTTATAATTTTGTATCATATATATACATTTTTTTATGTATAGATATGCATAAAATATAGTTTAAAAACATTTTATTTTTTTTTTAAAAAAGAAAGATTTGATCAGTTCCATAGTCCACCCGGTTTTTCCAATTTTATACTGACACAATCACTTCTAGACCGGATTTGGAGTTTCTCCATTTTTTTTCCTCCATTTCCCTCATCTCCACCATTCATTAATTTATCATTTAAAAAAATTATTTAATAAAATAATTTGAATGATAGGGATTGAAAAAATGGAGGAAAATGAAGGAGAAAAAAATGAAGAGACTCCTCTTCCCTTCTAGACCAATTCCAACTGGTTTCCGATTCCGAACTGAGCACTAGCCACTAGATCAATGGCCTGTCCAAACAATTAAACCAATTAGCCCAGTCCGGTTTTCCATCACTGATTTTTTTGCCAACTCTTTTTAGCAATTCAGCATAGAATATACTTCCTCAGGTAAAAAAGCATTTCCTCTCAGCCAATGTTAACTCAAAACATAAACAATTGAATACAAATAAAAAATAATTTTTTATTTTATTTTTTGTATTTATTAATCTAAATTTTTGTATAAATGTTTCTGTCACTCATGAAGTAAATTAGTAATTAGAACTAAAAATAAAAAAGAAAAAAATAATATATATTTTTACGCTAATGAGAACTTTACTGGTTTGCAGATTTTTTTCTAAAAGTTGCTTATATTTTGGATTATAAGGAATAATTTTCATTGATTGAATTGGATTGTTAAACCCAAAATAATTATTAGGATAATCACACATAAAAACTAAGATATTTATAAATATGCAATTAAATAATAAAAAATTGCTGATACACCGGTTTGTTTTCCTTCGCATTTTCATCTAGTCCGACATCCCTGCAGCCTTTCGTATCAAATGCTCGACTTGGTCACGTGTTGGGAAACATGAAATAACACCATGTCAGGATCTCCAACATAAGCCCATGCAGAGTTTAAACAGTTACTATAGATCGCATAGAAAGATTATGTTATCCAGTATAATCATCGTTCAGAATGAGAATGCCTACTCTGGTTTGATAGTCAAAATTTCTAACTCTTGGATATGAACCAGAGAAATCCAACTATACAGAACATAACATTGCATCTATGCAAAGCCAACACGCATGAGTCATTTGTTTCTTCCCAAAGTATCTCAATTCCAAAATGCTACCAGATATTGATATTTTACAACCACCAGCTCACCCACAGAAATATAATCACTGCTTGAATTTATAAGTTCGATCATATCCATGTGTACAATTGCCGCCTCCTCATCAAGCCACATCCACATCCACATTCTCATCATCACCCTCATACTGCAAATGAAATAAAAAGCACTGTTTCTGATCAGAAACTGCATTTTAATATTCTTGAAAAATAAATGAAACCATATAAAAGATGAAAGCAAAGCATTTGAAGCACAAACTTTGGCGAAAATGAAAATGGATTTGGTATGATGCATATATCTGCACTCGGGGGTGAAGAACTGACCTGTGAATAATTCGTTCCAGAAGAACTAAGGGTTGGGGGCAGCAGTGGTAAACTCCTCACCTTAAATGCCACTTCATTTTCATTTTCTGCAGGTGCGGTTTCAATTTTCTCAATGTTGTCATCCAGCTCAATCTCAACTTCCTCATCAACCACATGAGCTGCCATGCTGGTTAATGGCACACCAACCCTACTTTCCTTCAACTGCACCTCATCAATGAGAACGAGAAAGATCACTTGCATTATCAATCGCCAACTTTGAAAACAATCTTATTCAAGAATATAAACAACAATATCATTCAGCGTGTAAAGAACTCCCATGATATTAAGAAGTATCACCTTTTCTACGCCAAGGTTGCCAGAAGAACTAGATGTTCCTTTCTTTGGCCTGCCCTCAATATTATGGGGCTTAGTTGCTTGAGTCCCATTATTTGGGGCCTCAAGGCCTTCATACTCCTTATCATTTGATTGAGCAGCCAAACTCCACCGAGAACGCTTCCTGGTTCTGGCTGTTCCAACCAAATACCCAAGTTTTGATTTATATACATGCCACAAAGAAGTCAGCATAAATAACAGAAGGGCAAATAACCAGGAAAGATGGCCAGATTAGAAGTCAAATGCAAAACATATTCGCACAAAAAAGGGCATCACAATGAGTCATAAAGCTGAAACCAAATGTGCACATTTAGTACCTTTTCATCAGGGAGTGAAAAAAAGTCATCAGTGACAAGAATCTTGAGGCACAAATTTGATTTTGAGAATCAGAATTAGTATCACATAACATACCGCATCAAGAGAGCAAGGTCAATAAAATTTCACAATTTCACACAGTAAATTCAGCGAGGTAATTCCATATCCTCTACAGTCATTCATTAGGTAATACTGTAATAGTCAAAAGTTCTCAGGTTCCTAACAAAAAACATGCGGGATCTCAGGATAAGTGGAAATCTAGTCTACAAATAATCGACCATTGAATAACAAAACCCTGAATAGCCTGTGCTCCAGAATAATACAAGTTAAAAGCATAAACACTTGGCAGAAGATAATGCACCATATCATCAAATGGAACAAGAAAATAATAAATGTAATTTATTAATTTAAGGGTCTCTTAATATATCTAATTCTACACATAATAGACAAAAGCATAGACATTCTAGTTTATCAATTGTATGATCACATTGTTGAAAGTGACATGATTGTGCGTGTAATATGGATAGCCACTGTTTTTTGTTTCTCCATTATATTCCTTAATCATCAGTCAGATAAGATTTGAAAATTTTCCATTTTCTCCTTCCATCTTTTTAGGGTTTGATTGGCTGAGATGAGGCCAACCCAGCTACATGTATGAACTGAGGCTCAACTCGGATTACTACAACATACGATACAAACAAACGAGCAAATTTGAAAGATTTGAGCTTCCTGTTTTGGTTTGGCAAAAAATAACATTATTTTGAGAGCCAGAAGAGTAAAATGATTTTTTTCACTAAATTTTACAAAATTACTACCTTGTCTTGTTTCTTCAACAGCATCTTGGCCAAAAGGCAGCCTTTTTCTGTGCGGAGAAGCATCATTCTGCTCCACATTATCTTTGAAGATGGAAGGAAAACCTGCATCCTCAGCATTGCTTACAATATCAATACTCAAGTCTTCTTCATTGACACCAATTCTAGCTATGTCTGAGTCAAGCTGATCTCCCAACCTTTGAAGTCGAGCTTGTGATCTACGTAAGCCAACAAACTAAATTAACTCATAATCTTATAGAAGAATCTTCCCTCAAAAAGGGAATCAAGAAAATGGATATGAATGAAATCACAAAATGCATAGCAAATAAAACAGTAATCATATGTCTTGCCTCTTTAATTCATCTTGTAACCGAGCATTATGATTATGTGCTTTAACAAACTTCCTTATTTTTGACGTGACCCTGAATTTTCCAACATGATCAAAAGAACAAAAAGATTAGAATGGAAACGTCATTGAAAAGAAATGTTGGAGTCCAAAAGACAATGAAAAGAATATACATGTCAAAGTTCTAGTACCTTTTACAGTCTTCATTCTCTTTGCATAATTGAGCCTGAAGTTCCTGAATTCTAGAATTAAGGGTATCCACTTCTTGAACACTCTCATCCAAGCAGACCTTAAACAACAAACATTGCAGATCAACAAGTGTGATTTGAAAATAAAAATTAAACATAAGAAGCTAAACTGTCATCAGTTCAAAAAAGAATTGTTTTTCTTTTCCCTTGTCATTGAAGGAAGTGGATTGGAATGAGAGTTCTAATATTATTCTTACAGCAAACACTACATTCTATTCAAAATTAAGAAAGGCAATGTTAATTAGCCATCCGTGCTGGAATAAATGCACTCCAATTTGTCCAATCTGCACATTGGCGTGGCTGCATTGTCGTGTATTTGGGTATTCCAAACTATCCTGTATTACTATTGAATACATAACCAGGATGTAAACATATAAGAGACCAATGCTGCCTCATCATGTAAGCAGAATGCATTCTATCCATCTGCTTTCTTCCCCATAAACCCAATAGTTGTAATTGCCCACCTCCCAACATAAAGAAATCCAACACATCTTCCTATCTTAAAATTTATCCACATGATTATAGCCACCATATCTTTATGAAAAGACCAATATAAATTAGTGGATGATGAGCAACTGCTGCTGTAGATAGTAAAACTAACCCCAAGTTGAAACTTTTGCTGGTCAAGCATGTTGATTTCTGTCTGTACTTTTTCCAGCTGCACACAGTTCCAAGAACAAAATTAAACAGAAGTACTCTAGAACAATACTAAAACTACAACAAGAAGCCTTATCCCACTACTCCAGAACAATTTACCAAAAAAAAAAAAAAATTAGACCTGCTCCTCAAGACTATTTTTTGAACCAGAGGAATGCAGTTTTCCTTCTTTAACTTTATCCTGGATTCTATCAGAGAATCTCAAGCTTCCAGAAACACCAGTTTGTCCTGCAATGCCCTTGTCTCTCTTGCGCTTCCTATCACTGCAATGACAAGGAATAGGCATTAGGACCAATAAATGGATGAAGAACTAAAATAACAAGAAAATGGTTGATGAATAAAAGGCACATCTCAGTCATCATGCATCTGAGAAGTCAGGACAGAACTTTTTATGAGCAATTCCCCCCAGAAGTAAGAAGTGACACCATGTACAAACTTCATGTTCGCCAAATCACATATAGAAGAAAATTTCACACCAAACAAAGTTCACATTGTCACTTTTGGGTGTTATTACGAAGTTTCTTGCGGATTTACTAAAGGTTTCAATGAAACCAGTTGACAATGAAACAAAAAGAAACTAAATGAGAAAAAGAGGAAAGAATTATTAATGATGATTTACCTTCTTTTCTCCAAGGACCTCCCAGGGCTGTATTCTGCAATTATTAATCCATCAAAAATTAGGAAAGGAGAAAATGGGGGGCAATAACATTAACCTATTGCATTATAAGCACATATGCACATCCTATGGTGCATGCAGTCATACACCTAAAGACAGACATCATAACAAACTATGGTGAACAGGTGCAAAGTAAAAACGTCAATCTTTTGCTTAAGGATCCCATGTAATCGTAAGGGGGAAACTAATAAAAGGTTATGTAAGAAACATTCAAGGTTTTGGAGGCACCAGAATTACAGAATATGAAAATGTGATATTGCTATAATTACAATGAAAACTAGTTATCATGTGATAGTCAAGTGGGCACCTCCACAGCATATCCAAGTTAAAGATCAATACAGAAAACAATAACAGTAAGAAAAAAAAGTAAATAACTTGAACATAACCATGAATGTTTTGGCGGCTCCTTGCATCTCTAGCTGGTGATAACCTGCGAGGGGATAAGTGCCTTCTTTCAAGTTTTCCTCTCAAGTCACCGCCTGAATAGTCTTGCCTACCTGCAATAAGAAAAAGAAATCCCATTACCTCAGGCCAAACCAAAACCAACAAATGTTATAGGCTAAAAAGAAGAGAGGGAGGCAAAACTCATAAATTGATAATGAGACACAAGCTTACCATCACGATGAATAACAAGAGAAACATAATAATGAATAGTTATAGTGCCTCCCATGCAAGAGCAAAAGGGCGACAGAAATTAGCGACGGAAATAAAAACCCAGGCATGTAGCTTATATCTTTGAAGTGCAATCAAGGTTGAAATGGGATTAAGAACAGTTCACTTCCTCATCTTCTTGTTTGGCGGTATGGTATAAAATATAATCGAAAGGTAGAGATATCTCCAAGATGATTTTACAAAAATAAACATCCTTCCACATGCTATCAGATTTGATTTCTTCTGGTAATATGCCCTTTAACAATTTCATTCAGCCTTCGTACAAGGAGCCACACCATAACATCATCCAGAAGCGTCAATCAAAAGGAAAACCATAAGCTCCATTCACTCAAGAAGTAGAACATGCTATAATGAAGGATTAGATAATTCACTGAAGTTGATTCTGATCTAAATATAACATGAAGGAATAATCCAAGAAAGCCCGACCAAGGTCCTTCAGCTAGTACTTTGTAGTTCCACAGATTCGTGGAGTGATCCATGAAATATGTTGCCATGAAAAGGAAACGTTAAGAACAATACCAGCATTGACTTTTTGATAAACCAATCAGCAGAATCCTTACTGAAGATTTTCCCATCTAAATTAAAATATCCATACTGCTTGCAATTCAACCAGTCTCAAAACAAGATAATGTGATCCAACATCCTATCATTGAATAAATTAATCTGACATTAATTTCATACGTTAGTCAACCATATATAAGCCTTGTGCTCTGCTTAGACAGAATCAATTGACATATAAACCAATCTACCAGATAAGTATCCAGCAGTCAAAGAATATGAAATCCAGTAATGAATTTGGAGTATAAAAAAGGGAGCATGGACAAGAACAAATCATATACAAGTACAGCCATGAAAGTGGTAAGATATCTCTGAAAATATCTCGTTGCATTTTTCTCTTCCATCAATCAAGTTTCTCAATCATATGGGCATGTCATTAAAGGATAAAAACTCAGAATGCGCTCCTCATAAAACTTCATCTCATATGATCCAATCATATGTAATCATATGGAGAAGCCAAAATACAAACAAGCAAAGAAACATGCAGGATTACCAAATAGTCCAAGGAAATTTACAAAGCTACCAATATCTGCAAGAAGTAACATAGATCTTCAAGATTGCAAGCACACTCTACATCAAAATATTCTTTAAAGTATAGTTTGACAATGGCAAAGAATGTAAGATATAAAAAAATGAAATTCAAGAGTAAACACAACGATACAGGCAAGAAAGTATACCAACTATGTAATAATTTAAGAAAGAAGGATCACAGAGGTATGGAGCAGAAGTTAACAAGAAACGTTATAGCCAGCCCTTCTGCAGCTAGATGCCCTCCATCAACGGTGAGAATAATCACAATGTTTTATTAGGAGGGAAAGGAAAGACTAGCAAGTAACCACAGCAGATGGAATATTCTTGACGGTAATATGGAAATTGTAATGCAAAGTAACCGGACTAAATTATACTTATGGTAACTCACGTTGTAATGAACACCAAAATATTCAATTTGTAAAATCACGTGACATGAGCAAAACAACGTATAGCTGAAAGAAAAAATATTGTCGCACAGGCACTCGCCCATCCACAATCTTACAAGGCCACAGGCAAAGCACGGTTCCCCTACAAAGCTTTCTATGCAGGTACTGCTTCTCAAATTCCTAGACTTCTAAAATAAATTCAATACATGGTCCGACACTCAAGCGTCCTACTCACCTCAGCCACAGGAGACAGAGTTAACTAAATAGTCAATAAAGGTAAGATATCGCGATATAAGAACAATAATGGATACCACTATACGAGCCAGAGAATCGCCGCAGCTCCGCATTCCCATGGGCAAAGGTGCAATTTTGGCGTGGACACCGGCCTTTCTGATATGGTACACATAGCCTGGTCTTGAACTGCTTCCGCTCCACCATTCTCAGTCTTTTTAGTCAATGTGAACCACAAAACCAACGCCCGCCTCGTGAAATATCAGGCTTGAGATGAAAAGTTAGGAGTGAGATTCCTGCGTTTAAACATATCCATGAATTGTTAATCAGGTTGAATGAGGAGTTGAAGGAAAGTCTACTAGGTTCAAACCATTAAGCTTCTAGGTAGATGAGAAAACACGCCAAAAGAAAAAATGAGCCTTGAACATTTCCTTTCGATTCTTTTTGGTAAATCTCTTCTTTTCCGGGAATCACTGGGTAACCAAACTTTTAGAGCTCGGCGTAAATAAATCAAGAAAATCACCTTGAACTTGAAGAGTAGAGCGCGCGGCTCCAAATTCAATAGCTCCTCTGAGAAACCCAACTGAAGAGCGAAGAATCGAAATCCCAACGAGAATCTTACATGAAGATCTTTTGGGGGCTCTAGCCTCTCAATTGCTCCTTGAATTCACTTTAAAAAAACAAAAAAAATTGGGGCCAAGCTCATTCAATTGACCTTACCCCATTTAGATCCGACCCAACCCATTGCAGTTGACGTGTCATTATAAATTAAAATATATATTAATATTAAATACTACTAGTGTTGAGAATATTGAAGAAAAGAATAAACTAATCCAACAATAGTAATCATAATTCCTGCATAAGTGCAAAATGTTTAACAAAAGAATAGTGAATAAGGGACTGTTTGAAATTATTTTTATTTTATTATTTTAATAATTGATGTTTTATAAAATATATTTTGAAAATAAAAAAAATAATAAAAATAGATGTTTTTCTCATTTTTTTCTTATTTTTCAGAACAATAATCTTAGAACACTTGAAAGTTGCTTTCATTTTTTTTATTTTTAAGAACAATATTTTATTTTCCCTCTTTTAAAATACTTTTTAAAAATATGTTATTAAATATATATTTTTATTTTTTATTTTGAAAAACGAAAAACTGTTCTCAAAATAAGTTACCAAATAAATTCTAAGCTTTTTTTCCAACAACTATTTTATATCCATCATTGCTACTCATTAATTTTTGTTCTTGGTCAACATCACTACTCACTAATTCAAGTTTAAACAAGATAAAGATTTTTTTTTTCATATGTAAGATTTATATTCTTAGTTTCGTAGGAGGGATTTGGAAACACTCCCTTCCCTTAAATTGGTAATGGAAGGTAAATGTCCTTCTCTCCTCCTTCGATTAACATTCTCTCCTTTTTCGAACAATTGGAAGGATGACCAAATTCCTCCTCTTTCACTATATGGAATATTAAAATTGCTCCTCTCTCTTCTCTTCCCTTCTCTACTCTCTAAGTAACATATTAATCTTATTTAAGAATTTCAAGCCTCCTTTTTTATTACTCACATGTATTTTCTTGTTAGAAACAATTCTGTTTGAGGTGCAATTGAGTATTAAATGTAAGTATCTTTTCTAATAAAAATTGGACCCTTGGTTTGCCACATTATGAAGGACTATCCCCTTCTATATTAAACTTAACTCTTGTTGGTATTAAATCTGTTTGAATTTCAATTGAGTATAATTAATTATAAAAAAATTTATCAATATAATTGTTTTTAATTATAATTTATTATGCTTATGCTACAACATGATTATATTTAAATGTTATTTTTTTTGAAATTGATTTTTATAGAATTAAAAATGTTTGAATAGTAATCTTATTTAAGAATTTCTCAAGCCTCATTACTCAACCCAATTGCTAGAAAAAGTTATTCATATGAAAGAAAAAAAGCCTTCATTTTTAACCAAATATTAGGTTAGTGAATGAAATTTTTATTTTTGGCCAAAACACGAGTGAAATTATTATATTGTTTATTGCTTACCATTAATAATTAGCAATGTGAATAATAGCCATGACGAAAGGAACACATAGTTGAGAACATATTTATTAAAAAAAAAAATCTTGAATCCAAAATTTGAGACATGATTCAACTGTTTAAGAATTTTTCAATCCAAATATTATAAAAATATTATGTTTTGCCAATTTCTGAATCCAACATTATATGAAAAACTGGTTTCTGAGTTGACTATGAAGTTGGGGCTCCCGTGGAGATTGGTTTCATGATACGTTAAAAAATGCAACGCTAGTTCATATATTCCTTGCTGATTTATAAATTTTGGTTTATACATAGGAATATAAAAGAAAGAAACGAAAACATTAACAGCTACAAGATACTGCATGAAACGAATATTGGAACTAACGCATGCTTCCTCTGATTTTAACTTGTATTTCCTTTTCATCTTTACTCAAGATCCTGGGTATAAAGAACACATGTCTTAAAAGACGTCAAAGATCATGATTGGTTCCACTGAATTTCGGTACTATGGTTGTTCTTCAATGCACTTTGGGCACCTACATCTGAAACCATAATCTGCAAGGGATGCCTGTCTCTCTTCAAATGGAAGATCCTCATCGACATATGAGATGGTTATCTGAAATTGCTTCCAACTGTCAATTACTTGATCAAGACTAATAAAACTAATATATTCAAAAGAAATACACAAAGAATTTAGGATAATCAATAATGTATAGTCCCTTTTCATTCTTAGTGTATTAAACCTCAAGTTAAAAGAAATACTTATATATTGTAACCTGCAGACAACGTACCTCTTCTCCTTTACGAATTGACGTCAATGCAATTATTGTTGCTTGACCATCTCTATCCTGCATAGTGCATACAAATGCAGGCAATGATTGGGAAACAAAAAAAGTACTGCTATTATTGCATGTGATGACAATATTATCAATACATAATGCTAAGCTTTAACATAACATATGGGGAAAAAACAAAATTTACCCACAACCTCTCAGAAATGTTCGAGGTAACAGATCCTGCATTGTTCCTTGCGATGTCCATGTTTAAACACTCCCCGATTTTTTTTTTTTTTTTAACTTGTAAGGTCCTAATCTGACCTCAAAATGGTTACATGATTTCTTAAAGCAACAGAGTCGGTCATTGAAGGAATTCATTAACAAACAGGAGACTCCTATTTGATATATAGAGCAAATGCAAGCAATATAGTCCATCAAATGGGAAAAAGTAAATCTCATATTCTTTTCGTAAAGTGAAAAAATATAATAAATCTAAAGACCAAGTAAATTAATCTAATCAATATTTGCATCAGGCAACAGTTGACACAAATCAGGTCCAAAATTTCTAGAAACTTAAAAAAGCTAGAAATTTTGGGCCTACATACCTCCTCTCTTTTGAATGCCTTGGCATTAGGACAACAAGAATGGTTCATGCAGCTTTGCAAAGGAAAAAAAGCAGTTCCTAAAATAAATTTTAAGAACCATCAGCAATCATCCATTACTAAGAAAAAATAATGATAAGAATGGATCATGAATTAACATAGTCCATATGGAACTGCACACTTCAAAAACCAGTAAGGTGATACGGAAACAAATCCCTCTAAATTGTCAAGTACCCTGGCAACAAATTGAATAGTCTTCACCAAGAGCATCCAGAATTGGTTGTGTAATTTCCTCAGCTTTTTCCTGCCATTAATGACCAAGAAAAAGGTCAGATTTACTTTTTGAGATAAAATAGTAAAGCAAAAGATATTGATACTGACCTTTTCAGGATATGTTAGATTGTCAATGTACAAAAAGTAATCCTCCACAGGAGAAGCTACTACCAAATCACTGACAGAAATAAACACCAGATTAATTCACAAATCTGATGAATCCAAGTGAGATGCTCATGTGTGGCTCCATCATTTTCATTTGATGGCTGAATTACAGCATTTCAAGCTTTACATTAACGGAACGAAACTGAGCATAACAATGGCAGTAAAGTACAAAAGAAAAATGGGAAGCCCAGGAAGATGGATTCTTACAGATTGTTTTGCTCAAACATGCCAATGATGTGCCCATATATTTCCAGGGAGAATACTGAGTATAGTTAAGAACTTAGATCAAAGATCAACAAGAAGATTATATGTTTCTGATACATATACATAATGACACGGGCATTTGCATGAACAAATAAATCATCATTTAGCATTAAGAAAGGATACATGGTTCACACTCTCTGTCAAATATAGCTTTCTTTAGAAGTTGGAGTGACTGAAAAGTTACAGTCAACTCGTCAGAAATGAAAAAGGCAGAGTATGCATAAAGGTTGTTAGATTTTGTGGGAAAAATTTCTGTGATATTATTCTCAAGGTTTACAAGGAAATTTATATAAGAGTTCCTACACACACAGTAATAAATGCTATCTCAGCTACTAACTACTAACTAATAACAATTACAAGAATAAATACAATATTCACATATTTTAACACTCCCCCTCAAGCTAAAGAATGGATATTATCCATTCCCAGCTTGGTAAATAATTTCTAAAAATGTTCATTAGATATTCACTTTATGAGTATATCTGCCAATTGTTCACCAGAAGGAATGTAGGGAGTACAAATTAGACTGCTTTCCAACCTTTTCCTTGATGAAATGTTGATCAATCTCTACATGCTTTATCCTATCATGTCATACAGGATTATGAGCAATGTTGATGGCAAACTTGTTGTCGAAGTAAAGCCTTATTAGCGCTTCCCATTTGATTCTCAAATTTGATAAGAACTCACAAATTCCAAGTGCCATAGCTCTAAACTTAGCTTCAGCATTGGATCTAGACACCACATCTTGTTTTTTGCTTCTTCAAGTAATGAGATTTGAGCCAAGGAACATACAATAGCCTGATGTAGACCTTCTATCACTCATATCCTGTTCATGATCTACATCAGTGTATGCTTCAATGGTCAATCTTCTCCCCCTCTTGAACAAAATGCCTTTTCCTGGAGTACCCTTCAAGTATTCAAGTATTCGATAAACTACCTATAGATGAGGTTCTTTACAATCATGCATAAACTAGCTCACCATACTTACCAGGCAATGTCAAGTATAGTGGGGGCAAGGTAAATCAACTTCCCCACAAGTCTCTAGTAGGATTCATTATGGACAGGAGGATCTAGAGGAGGAGGTTTGTCAAGCTCTTTTCCTGGCTTTTGTTTACGTGGATGCTTTCCTATCTGATAAAGTCGATGGTTTTGTTCCAATAGGTTAGCAACTCAACTTTCTTGTTTCGGCTAGAAGGTCAAGAATATACTTCTATTGAGAAATGAAGATGTCGTGTTAGAATCAGCAACTTCAATGCCCAAAAAATATTTTAACCTCCCTAAATCCTTCTGATGTAACCTTAAGATATGGTCAGACTTATAAGAGGAGATCTAAGGGGTAGGTGGGTGTAGAAAAGAAATACCTAATGGATTAAAGTTAATATCCTTAGGGTCCAGAAATTAAGGGTTAAGTCATGATGTATGGTAAGGTGGCTTAGATTCAATCTAGATACGATAGTCACCTTTTTGCTTCCTTTATTTTGTTGTTGCTGTTTTGGTTAGCACTCAAGAATGTTGTGGTAAGATAGACAAAAGGAAGGAGAGTGCTGGTCTCTCAAACACCAGTGAGAGGCTATGTTCTTATTGCTGTGTTATTTCTGTTGTTGTAATTTTCATCCATAGGGAATAAGGTTTTGGCTAGAATCAGTGAGTTTCTCTTTTGTAACACTGATTCAGTTTCTAAGTCTTAATATCAAAACCTCAGAATTTTCCTCATTTATTTCCTTCTTGCATTCAAGTTTTGTTAAAAGTAATTAATATAGGGCAGAGCTCTATCAATTGGTATCAAAGCAGTGCAATCCTTGGACCAAGAACCAATTAAGTGGAAGATATGGCAGAGGGAGTACATTATGCTGACCCAGAAGTACAAGAGCTAAAAGAGACAATAGGAGGTTTGTCAAAAGATATGACCTTAATGAAAGACATGATGCAGAAGATGCAAGGAACATTGGATCAGTTAATGGAAAAATAGAAACATGCAGCTGACAATCACGAACAGGTGCAACCCAACCATGAAGAAACTACTGGAAGTATAGGAGAGACCATGAGAAAGAAGGGGGGAAGTATAGAAAACTTGAGTTACCCATTTTCGATGGGGAGGACCCCATTGGCTGACTATTTCGAGTGGAGTGGTATTTTAGAATCAACTCAGTGGCCGAAACACAACGAATGGACGCAACAATCATTTGTTTGGAAGGAAAAGCTTTGAACTGGTATCAATGGGTCGAAACCAAAGCCCCTGTCCAAATGTGGTCTGAGTTTGAAAGGGAGCTGTTGTGCAGGTTTCATCCATCACAAATAGGGGATGAGTATGAGATGATGCTAGCCGTGAAGCAAGAAGGCTCTGCGCGTGAATACATGGAAGAGTTTGAGCGACTCTCAGCTATGGTGAGTGACGCGTCAGAGGCTTGTTTGGTAGGAGCATTCAGAACTGGGTTGAAACCAGAAATTCGAGCCGAGCTGAAGCTAACGACAGCAGCAACACTGTTAGAGATCATGGAGATGTCAATTAGGGTGGATGAGAGGAATCAGATAGTTGAAAAAGCCAAATACTCACATACTTCACAGGCCCAATGTTTTCCAAGTGGGCCTAGAAATGATTCAGCCCAAACCTCCTACACAAGGGTAACCCATATACCTAAGCCTAAAAAATACACGCACACTCCTGTAATGCCTGCAAATTCAGGAGCCCAAAAATGGACAGAGACAAAGATGACTGACTCAAGAGTGGGAAGTAATGTGTCTAGATCAACGTCTACTCGTCTAAGAGGACGAACTCAACGACTCTCTGATGTTGAACTAGCTAGACAGCGAGAGCTTGGCTTGTGCTTCAAATGTGCTGAGAAATTCAGACCTAATCACGTCTGCAAGAACAGAAATATGCAAGTTATGTTGCTGGAATTAGAGACTAAAAAGGGGGCTCAAAACCATGAACCAGTGGATATTGAAGATAGTGAAGGGGTGGAAGACGACACTACTAGGATGGACTTTTCACTAAACTCCATTGTTGAGTTTAGAGGAAATCATACGACGAAGGTGTGTAGGGAACTAGAAAAGGCTGAAATTGTGATCTTAATTGATAGTGGGGCCACTCATAACTTCATTGCTGAAGATTTAATCAATAAAGCTAAAATCCCAGTAAAGGAAATTGCTGTATATTCAATCGCTGTCGGGGATAGGTTCATTTTTAGAGGGAGGCAACGCTGTAGTGACCTCAAGCTACAAGTACGGGGTTTGAACATTATTCAAACTTTCTATCTTTTTTCACTCAATGGCATGGATGCTGTTCTAGGTGTCGAATGGTTAAAATCATTAGGAGAAGTAAGGGTAAATTGGGGGCAACTGACTATGAAGATTGGTAAGAAAAGTAACAAGGTATGTTTACGAGGTGATCCAACTTTAACCAAGACTTTGGTTTCTTTTAAATCACTTATGTGATCCGTTCAAAAGAAGGGAGAAAGGTACATGGTTGAATATAATGGGATAAGAACTGAAGAAGCAACACCTGAAACTCTAAATTTGACACCTGAAATTCAGAACCTTCTAAATCAATTCTCTGCAGTTTGCCAACCCTTTGAAGAGTTACCACCAACTCGTTCTCATGATCATGCAATAGCCATCAAAAATTTGAAACTCTTTGATTAGTTGACTTTTCAAAGAATGAATCTTTCCAAATCATTTCCTGTTACTATGATATCACCGCCATAAACAAGTAAAATTGTTATTCCTCCTGAAGCAGAATGTGTAATAAACAAACTATGATCACCTTTGCTTTGTTTAAACCCCATACCAACCGTTGCTTTTGTAAACCTTCCAAACCATGCCTTTGGTGATTGTTTCAACCCATAAAAAACCTTTTTAAACTTGCAAACTGTACCAAGAGGAAGTTGAGAATCAAAACCAGGTGGAACCTCAACAAAGATTTCTTCCTTTAAATCCCCATGTAGGAAAGCATTCTTCACATCAAACTACAGTAATTCCCACTTATGAACAGCTGCCAAGGACAATAAAATGTAGAAAGTATTTATTTTTGCAATTGGGGCAAAAGTTTCCTCATAATTTCAGGAAAAAGTTCAAAAGTTTGAGCAAGAGTCGATTCAGATGATTAAACTTGTGTAGGTTGAGATGTTCTTTTGTTTTTTCGAGTGAAAACTTGTAGTAGATGAGTAGATTTGAGAGTTAATGGTGCTTCCAAAGATGCATTAGGGATGGAACTAGGAAGGTCACTGAGAAGGAGATCATTACCTCGATCATCACTAAAAAGACTCTCCCCTTCAAGATGAGTATTGAAATAAAAGTCAGATTCAGAAAAAGTAACATCAATTGACACAAAAAACTTCCTAGAAGGAGGATGATAACATTTGTATCCTTTCTAAGTAGAGAAATACCCAATAAACACACATTCAAGAGCTCTAGGGTCAAGTTAGATCCTTTGTTGAGAACGCACATGAACAAAAGCAACACACCCAAAAATTCTAGGTATGAGACCATTTGATACATTAAAATTAAGGGGAAAAAAACTAAGTGAGAACATCCATAGGACTTTTTGAATCAAAAACAGGAGTTAGAAGTCTGCTAATCATATGTGTGGCGGTCAAAACAACTTCTCCCCAATATTGTTTAGGCACATTAGTTTGAAACAATAAGACTCTTGTAACACTAAGATGACCATTCTTCCACCTAGCAACCCTATTTTGTTGGAGAGTATTAATACATGATGATTTATGTAAAATTCCATGTTTTTAAAAAAAATGGATAAGGATTGATTGAAAAAATCTTTGGCATCATTGGACCAGAATCTTTGTATCTAAACTCCAAATTGAGTTTTAATCATGTTATAAAAGGAGGGAAAAATAGTGCTAGCATCAAATTTTTTTTTCAGCAGATAAATTCATGTTACATGGGTGCAATAATCAATAAAGGGCACAAACCATCGAAACCCAGTAACATTAGGAACATTTGAGGGACCCCAAATATCACTATGAATCATATTGAAGGGAACTGAAGTTCTTTTATTACTCACACGAAATGAAGATTATTTGTATTTTGCAAACTAATAAACATCACAATGAAAAGACTCAACAACTAAATCCTTGAATAAGTAAGGAAACATAATTTTCAAAACATTAAAGGAAGGATGACCCAAACGGCAATGAAAAAAGCCAAATCTAATCTTTACTAGACTCTACTCTTTTTGACTAAGAAAGGGAAGAAGCCATCAAGCTTTGAACTCTACTACACTGACTAGGTTCATTAAAATAATAAAGACCATCCTTTTCCTTAGCAAGTCCAATCATTTGGTTTGTCTCCCACTCCTAGAAGAGACAAGAGATAGAAGAGAAGAGAACATAGCAATCAGAATCAGTAGCACGCCTTTTCACAGAGATTAGATTTGTACAAAGTTTAGGGACATGCTAGACACTTTTAAGAACAAGGCTATCACTCAACCTAACATCTCCTTGACCAGCCACAGTGGCTATAGATCCATCACTCCACATAATTTTCCTAGTGCTAGAACATAGATTATAAGAAATAACGTTCTTGGAGGAATTTGCAAATGATTTGAGGCTCCTGAATCAACAATCCAAGAGTAACTTCTTTGAGGTAATAAAAGTAGGTGAAAATAAGACAAATGAAGGTTGAAAGGAAATATTTGAGAACCCTAAAGAATAGGTACCTATAGCAAAGGTAAAAGCTTTGTCGAGTAACTCTAGTAATAATCTTAGTCTCCCCATCTCCCCCTTAAGATTAGCCTAGCTAGAGCTTTCCTTAGTTGAATCAGTGGCCACATAAGCTTGGCCTTTCTTCATGCTCAGGGGCTTACCATGTAGCTTCTAACACTTATCCTTAGTATGCCGTGCTTTCTTGCAATAAGAACATTAGGTTCTTTGTTAAAGACCTTGGATGAGTCTCCTTTTTTGCCATCCTTAGTAAAGTGAATCCTGATATTCTTTGAGACCAAAACAAAATTTTCCACCAGCTGGGATTCCATCATCACACCCCTGCAGCCTTCTTCTGCCAAAACAATGGCAACAGTCTCATTGAGAGAGGGTATTTCTTCCCGACCAAGAATTTGAATGTAGATGGGATCAAACTCTACATTCAATCTTGCAAGATACTCAAAAATACACTCTTTCTTAATAAAGCGCTTAAAAGTAGCAGCATCTTAGGATTCTTCGAGATAATACACTAACAATGATCTAACTCTTGCCATAAACTTTTCATAAGAGTAGAATATTTAGTAAAAGATTTCCTTCCCTGCTTTGTGTTGGAAATCTGGTCTTGATCCCATAAATCTACATAGCATCTTTCACCTTTGAATAAGTTTGCTGAACCATATCCCAAACCTTAGCATAAGACAGGAACAAACATGTACGACTTACTTTATGAGTCATAGACTGCCACAACTAAGACATAACCATTGAGTCAACTTCATTCTAAGCATCAAACTTAGGCTTCCTTGACTTAGGACCCATCCGAAGAAGATAACTGAGATTTCCACAACCCTTTAAAAAAGTCCTAACATACTAAGTCCAACCCAAAAAATTAGTCCCATTCAATTTATGAGCTACTATAACACATAACAGCTATCTGAAAGAGCCAAATGAGGAAGGCCCAGCATTGTTAAAAGTGTTCTTCACGTTCGACATTATGGGAACAAAGAGAGAAGAAGATTCAGAGCAGAATAGAGGCGACAGGGAGTAAAATGAGGCAAAGAGAGGCCGAAAACACAACTCTAGGCAAATTTCTTTAAATGGCGCATGGTGGTCAAACTTCTGGGATTGACCGATCAGCGGCAAGTGAAGAAGGTGGTTCAGCACCTATCTACTTTAGATGTCCTTATGATAGTGGATCTGAATAGCAGCAAGAGGGAGTTTTTTTTTTCCAAAACAGGAAAATAACAAGAAAGAGAAAAAATGATCAAAGAGAAGATACTAGGGTTTGGAGGACTTTGGCTCTGATACCATGTCAAATTTTGTGAGAAAAATTCTCTAATATTATTCTCAAGATTTATAAGGAAATTTATACACGAGCTCTTACACACAAAGCAATATATGCTATCTCAATTACTAACTACCAATTGATAACAATTACAAGAATAAATACAATATTCACATATTTTAACAAAGGTTATCCACATAAACACACCCCATTTGGCAGTAACATGTTCAAGTATCCATCAAGCTTATTGTCACAGGAAGACTTCTGGGCCCAATAAAAGACAAGTCTAATCCACAGAGGATCATAACCAAATGCCTCAATCATTATAACTCCATTATAGGCATTGTTGCTAAAGTGAATGGAAAGATTTCATAACAACTTGAAATCAAAAAAGAATACATCATCAAGAAAGTAGATGTCTTGATCACATATGAAAAGTTCAACTAAAGTTAATATAAAAGACAATCAAGGAGTTCAGTCTTTTGGTGTACAAAAACTAATTTCATACCAGTATAATTTTATGTGCAGAGTAATAAGAACTTAAGTACTGGTCTAAAAACTTAATATGGGGTAGCATTTTATCATAAATTGTCATCATTTCCAAATGCATTGCCTCAGTTGAAAATGAAGCTTTTGCCTAGACATACTAATATATGAAATTTAGTGGCTTTGAAATATTGTATCTTAAATTTTGCAAAGAATTTATGAGTTGAACATCATAATTAAAGCATAGTATAATTGGAAAGCATTATATTCTCACTATGAACTTTTAATGACATAAGGATAAGCCAAGAACCTAAACTTAGAAAGAAAAAATGCCAAGAAATTGTTTCATTATGTGACTATAATATTAATGTTACCACAATATTAAAAGCCAAGATAGTGAATTATATGCCTTGCCCCAAATAACCAAAGCAACTTAATAAGAGTAACAAAGTTTTTAACAAGCACATTCACAAGAAAAATTCAAAAAAAAAGATATATATGCCTCAAGAAAGTTATTATTATATAAAATATAAGTAAAAGGAAATATTTCTACCATCAATCTGACGAATCCTACCTCAAATGCCAGATCTCTTATTTGCATCCTGAATGCAACTTCATCATAAGAATTAATATCATCTGGCAATGCAACGCAGTCCCACCACCTAGAAGAAAATTAAAATGACACATCTTGTATGGTTCAAATTAATCATATTCCCCCCCAAACAAGAAGAAGAAGAAGTCACAACATTAACAAGAAAAAATAATGAATGAAAGTGACAATGACTAAGTGCCTAAGGACAAAAGAATGACTCTCCATATTCTAGGTCCTTCATGAGTTTTCTAACACGGTGTGTATTTTGAGAGGGAAAATATTATTTTCATTGATTCAAAAAATGTGTTACAACTGGTATATATACACAAAGCTGAGAGACAAAATAATAAATCCTAATAACTTCTAATAATTAACAACAATCCTTAATAATCAAGGTAGAATATTTACAATAAATTCAATATTACCACACTTCCCCTCAAGTTGGATTATAGATGCTAATCATGTTCAACTTACTTACGCAACTTTCAAAAGCAAGCTTATAAAACCTCTTGGTTAGAACATCTACAACTTGAAGATAGGTAGGCAAATAAGTCAAACATATGATTCCTTCTTCCACTTTTTCTCTAATGAAATGCCTATCCACTTCCACATGTTTAGATTTCTCATGTTGAACTGAATTTAAGGCCATGCTTATAGCTCCTTTATTGTCACAATAGAGTTTTAGTGGTGAGTCCACCTTGACATGTATCTCTTCTAAGACTTGTTTTAGCCACAACTCCTCCATTATTCCATGAGCTAATGCTCTTAATTCGGACTCAGCACTACTCTTGGAGACAACCCTATGCTTTTAACTCTTCCAAGTAAGCAAGTTTCCCCACACAAAGGAACAATAAGCAGAAGTTGATCTCCTATCAAGATGAGTTCCTCCCCAATTTGCATCTGTGTAAACCTCTATGGTTCCCTATTCTTGTTTTTGGAAGAATAACTCTCTACCAGGAGTAACTTTTAAATACCTCAAAATCCTATAGGCTGCTTTCATATGCTTCTTCTTTGGTTCAGTCATGTGTTGGCTAGTCACACTCACTATAAAGACAATATCCAGTCTTGTATGGGAAAAATAAATCAACTTTCCGACAAGTCTTTGATATCTTTCTTTGTTAGCAGCCTCTTCTTTCTCATTATCTTCTTTTTCTTCAATCTCATCATTAGGATCTTCTTCTTTTTCTTCTAACTCTTCCTTTTTTTTCTTAGGCTTCTTTTTCTTTGGAATCACAAAAGGGGTTTTAGTAGGCTTACATCCCAACATACCTGTTTCCTTTAGAAGATCAAGTACATAATTCCTTTAAGATACATAGATACCTCTCTTCGACCTTGCAACTTCCATCCCAAGAAAGTATTTCAAGTTTCTGAGGTCTTTTGCCTCGAATTCTTTTCCCAGAGCAATCTTTATTCTAGTTACTTTCTTGAGATAGTCTCCTATGAGAATAATGTCAACAACATATACAATAAGAATGCATCTCTTACCTTCCTCAGCTTTAACAAACCTTGTATGGTCTGACAATCCTTGCTTGTAGCCCTCTAGCTTGAGGACTTTCGAGAACTTGTCAAACCATGCCTTGGGAGACTGTATTAAGCCGTATGAAAATTTCTTCAATCTGTACACTTGATTACTTCTTCCTTTGTCAAATCCTGGGGATAGAATCATGTATACTTCTTCTCTTAGCTCTCTATTTAGGAAGGCATTCTTGATGTCGAGTTGATGAAGCAGCCATTCTAAGTTGGCTGCCATAGATAATAAAACTTTGATGGTGTATAACTTCGCCACCGGTGCAAAAGTTTCTTTGTAGTCAATATCATATGTTTGAGTGAACCCTCTTGCTACTAAGTGAGCTTTTAACTTGTCAATAGTATCATCGGCCTTGTATTTAGGGGTAAAGACCCACTTGAAGCTTACAAGCTTCTTACCACTTGGCCTCAAAACAATCTCCCATGTTTCATTTTTCTTTAGAACTTTCATTTCTTCCATGACTGCCTCTCTCCATTCTAGTATTTTCAGTGCCTCTTGAATGCTGTTGGGAATTACCAATTTATCCAAATTAGTGACAAATGCTCTGTAACTCACAGAGAGAGCCTTGAAGGACATATGCTTCTGTATTGGATGTAAGGTAAAAGAGCAAGGTTGTTTACGAAGAGCAATGGGTAAATCAAGATTATATTGATCACTCAGTTATTCAGTAATTTGCTGAGGTGGATCAAGAGCTACCATTGGTTTAGACTCCTTTAATGCTTCAGATACAAGGTGCTTGCTTTCCTTAGACTTATGTTTTCATGAATAAACCAATAAGTCTTTGTCTTTTTGCTTCTCTACATCTCCCCTTTCTTTTAAGTTATCTTTTATAACCGGCACAAGAGATGGTGGCATTAAAGGTTCTAGTAAGGGTGATAGATCTGATAATTGTGGTGGTAATGACTCTACTAGTGTAAACCAAGAATGAAGGAGCATTTGTTTATTGCTAGTTTCTTGTTTCTGAGTCTGAGATTCCTATATACTCTCCCCCTGAATTGAAGAATTGGAATAGAAAGATGTGGCTTCATGAAAAGTAACATCAAGGCTTACAAACATGTGTTTGGAAACATGATCAAAACATTTACATCCTTTTTTAGTAGGTGAATAACAACGGAAGATGCATTTTGTAGCATATAGTCCAAGTTTACTGTTTTAGTAGATACATACAAAGGTAGTGCACCTAAACACACAAAGAGAAAGGTTGGTTTCAACATGAGAGGTGGAAAAAAAAAACACTTTGCAATTTTTGGAGAAGAGTGCCAAAGGATAGAACACGATTGAGCATTCAATTAATGAGATAAGTTGCAGTTAAGATGGCATCACCCCAATAGAAATTAGGAACATTGTGGGTGAACAGTAGTGTTCGAGCAACTTCTAGCATGTGTCTATTTTTTTTTTCTACAATCCCATTTTGTTGGGGTGTATGGGCATAAGAACTGCAATGGACAATACCATGTTTGAGTAAGAAGGCACATAAGGTTTGGTTAAAATATTTAGTACCATTGTCGGTGTGCAAAACTTAGATGGTTGTGTTAAACTGGGTTTGTATCATGCCATCATGATGAAGAAATTGATGAACACAGACACTACATTAGACTTATCTTTTAAGAGATATACCCAACAAACTTGAGTATGATCATTAATGAAGGTAATAAACCACTTTGATTTTATGCGGTTCGGGATATGGGATGGTCCCCACAAATCACTATGGATGGTAACAAAAGGCTTTGTAGGTGTGTAGGGTGTTCTACTAAATGATGTTCGATGATGCTTTGCTAGTTCACACACCTCACATTTGACATCATGATTAGTAGAAACAAGGTTTGGGAACAAATGAGATAGGTAATGGAAATTAGGATGACCCATTCTCTTGTGCCATAACAGAATATCCATATCTTTAGAGGTTGATATAGAGTTACACACACCGGTGGCTTGTTAGGAACTAATGTGACCCAAACAATAAAACAACAAAAACACTAAATTAAGACAATAACAGCACTAAATATGAGAGGAAAATGCTGAGTTTTTTTATAATAATGAGCTGAATGGACCGAATCAGAGTTACAAGGACACTCTCTGATTCTGGCAAAAAACTCTATTTCCTCTATAAATCAAGATAACTCCAGCCACTAGATTTCAAGCTTCAAAATACAAGTTCCCTACCACTGGCATTTGAGAGGCCAGTCTCTCCTCACCACTCTCTCTCTCCCCCCACTCTCCAAGCCAAAGACTACTAATACCCTCAGTATGGCTTACACACGGCCCATACTACCCAAAAGATTATAATCATGACAAAAGATTACAAATCACTGTTCCTTACGGCTAGGGACTGACGGATAAGTCCCTGGACCAGTTAAAGTATTTCCACTAGAGTTATTCCTCCCCTTTGACTTCCTCTGATATGTCTTATGAAAATAATGGGCTCTATCATTACCCTCCCCTAAGAGTTTCACCTTGTTCTCAAGGGGAAAAGTTGGAAACTGTTGGCAAATCATTTCTGCACATTCCCAGGAATTCTCAAATTCTGGTAAATCTTGCCATTTAACCAACACCTCTCGCTGTCCGTTCATAAGCTTGCGAACCTTTCTTATATCTTGAGGCTGCACCTGCAATTCAAATTCATTAAAAAGTATTGGGGGAATGGAAGGTTGTACCACAGTAGCTGAAACTGTTTGCTTTAGCTGAGAAACATGGAATACAGGGTGAATGCGGGCAGTGGGTGGGAGTTCCAGCTTGTAGGCCACAGTCCCGATCTTTTCAAGAACCTTGAAAGGTCCGTAGAAACGTGGGCTAAGCTTCTCATTGTCCCTCCGAGCCAGGGTTTTCAACCGATAAGGTCGAAGTTTCACATAAACAAGGTCCCCCACTTCGAAATGCACATCCTTACGATGCTTGTCAACTTGCACCTTCATTTTGCTTTGAGCCTTAGCCAAATTTTCCCGTAATTGCTCAATGATCTGATTTCGAACCTGAATCTGTGCATTCACGTCTTCTACAGCTGAGGGTTCGCCACTAAATTTTAAAAAAGTAGGAGGATCCCTTCCATACACTGCCTTAAAAGGTGTCATGCCCGCCGCGCTATGAAATGAAGTATTATACCAATATTCAGCCCAAGACAACCATTTAGCCCATTGAGTAGGCTTCTCATTGGCAAAACAACGCAAGTAAGTTTCCAAGCTTCTATTTATCACCTCCGTTTGTCCATCGGATTCCGGATGGTAAGATGAACTAAGGCAAAGTTGAGTTCCAGCTTGTTTGAACAATTCTTGCCAAAAATGGCTAATGAAAACCCTATCTCGATCTGAAACTATGGTTTTAGGGAAGCCATGTAGCTTCACAACCTCAGCTACAAACTTTTCAGCAACATCCTTTGCAGAAAAAGGGTGGGCAAGAGGGAAGAAATGTGCATATTTTGTGAGTCTATCCACCACTACTAGGATGGTGTCATACCGCTTTGATTTGGGAAGCCCGGTAATGAAATCCATGCTAATATCTTCCCAAACACTTTGAGGAACAGTTAATGGCTGTAACAGACCAGCAGG